ATATTTCTTTTTCATATTTTGGTATATGATATTTTTATATCTAAATTTTGTATAATGTTAAAAGTATAACATTGTTTATTAATAATAGGAAAACTGCATTGAAATCCTTACATATTGGTCTCATAATCGATTTAGTCATTATATCTTTTTTTTATTCAATTAAATCCCAAAAACCGGTAATCGTATTTAATTAAAACCTTTTACCCATTCAACAGGTCATTGAATTTTTAAAAATTACACTTTTGGCCCAGATTTCAAAATTTATTACAAATTTGGTCCAAAGTTTACACTTTTTGCCCATATTTTAAACTTTTATAAATTTGGTCCAAAATTTACCCTTTTGGCCAAGATTTTAGAATTTTGTTATGAATTCATCCCATATTTAGTTTTATTTACAAGATTTTTTCTCAAAATTTTCTTCCGAATATGTTTTTTCTTTATAAAATCATATTTATACAAAAAAATAACATATTTTCACATAAAAATCTTATATTTTCTATATAAATTTTTTTTTTGTATACGAAATACCTATTTATAAAAATAAATATTTATTAAGTATATAAATATATATAAGTCCGTTTATATAACAAAAATGTATACTGACATGTATTTTACAAAAAGAAATGTATTGGGACACCTATTTATAGATACATTTGTATGCAAACACATTTATAAAAATTGTATACAAACACCTATTTCATAGTAAACATATTCACTTCTTTTGTAAAAACATATTTATATGCACCCAAATAAGTGTTTGTATACATTTTTTTTTTGTAAAAACATATTTTTATATATATTTTTGTAAACACCTATTTTATAATAAATGCATTTGTATTCAAACACGTTTATATATAAAATGTATACAAACACGTATTATATAAAAAAATTATTCAGACACGTTTGTATAAATAAAATGTATACAAACACGATTTTATAAAAAATATAGATACACATCTATTTGTGTGCATATATATATATATATATATATATATATATATATATATATATATATATATATATATATGTAGAGAGGGAGAGAGAGAGAACAGGTGTTTGTTTACATTTTTTGTTAATATGTGTTTGTATACAAATATATTTATAATAAATAGGTTTTTATATACATTTTTTTTTTGTAAAATACGTGTTTGTAGACATTTTTTTTTATAAAAAACGGATTTGTATATATTTATTTACTTAATAAATACATATTTTTGTAAATAGATATTTCATATATAAATAGTTTTTATATAGAAAGATAAGATTTTTTATGTGAAAATATGTTTTTTTTGTATAAATATGATTTCATACAGGAAAAACATTATCGAAACAAAATTTTGAGAAACAAAGTTGTAAAAAAAACTAAAGTTATGATGAATTCATTACAAAATTCTAAAATTTGGGCAAAATGGTAAATTTTAGACCAAATTTGTAATAAATTTAAAATCTGGATAAAAAGTGTATATTTTGGACAAAATTTGTAATAAAATTTGAAATCTAGGCCAAAAATGTAATTTTTGAAAGTTGGATGACCTGTTGACCGGATAAAAGGGTTAAAGTGATTACGATTACCGGTTTTTGTGACTTCACTAAATAAAAAAATATATAAAAATTAAATCGATTATGAGGCTAATATGTAAGGACTTTATAGCAGTTTTCCTTTAATTAATTAGATAGAACTAATATGTGATCATTTTGTATAAAAGACAAGATAGATTTATTGTGAGAGTTTAGTCTATAATATAGATTTTGGTATATAATATTTTTATCAAATAAATTTCTTATCTAAAATTTTAGATACATATTATCACAGATGCAACATTGTTCATTTATTAATTAGATCGAACTAATATGCTATCACTTTGTGAAAAGACAAAATAGATTTCTAATGAGATTTCGGTATTTAATACACGTATGGATTATATTTGATATCCGAATTTGTATCCAATTTTTTGAATACCAATTATGATATCAAAATTCACATGCAAAATCTCATATCTTTGGTTTGAACACCACTAAGTTACAACCGACTTATTAAAGGGTATTCATATTATTTTTAATACCTTGACGATGTTATTCCATCGATCAAAGGAGTAGTCAGATCCGCTTAGCGAATTGATACCACCAGCCAGAATGTGAGGATGATCGCTTGATTTTATGATGGCGTGGATCTGTTTCATTCTCCAGTTTTCGTCAAGGTGATCGAGTTGTGTGCAATAGAAGCTGAGTTCCCCCGTCCGTGGTACATCAATTGTAGCCTTAAGCACATTCCTATACCGATCCATTAACATAAATGATCATGGAAATAGAAAGTAATTGCAAAAGTAAACACCATATATACTTCATCTTTTTAATATTAAACAACGATTGTTCTTATAGAAATATGATGGTGATGGTTGTTTGTACGTAAAACCAAATACGCATAAAAACCTGAAATCTTGGTCGTCGTAAATTTTTTGAACCTTGGACCTCTTGATCGGCCATTTTGACAAGATGGCATTCCCATATTCCGGAGCCCAACTTTCCGCGAACACATAATTCATCCCGAGAGCAAAAGCCAAATCCGATAAAGGTTTCATTTCTTTCTCTTCTTCAGCCTTCACATCCTGCAAAGCTAGTACATCAGCATCAACGTCTTTAAGCACATCAAGAATACTTCTATTTCCATCATCCATCAACCCAGTCAACGGGAAGCAAATCGGGCTTCTCAAGACCCGATTTTGGGACATGGAGATCTCATTGTCGGGAAGATTTATCGAGACCCTCTTGGCATGATTTTCGGTCCCGATTGTATGCATTGGGGATTGCTTTAGAATGCTTTTTGGTCCACCAACTTCTTGTCCCCGGATACCATCGACCCATGATCCATCTGATTTTGGAACCGCAGGCGCGAGGGAGAACATAGCTACGTTAAAAGATGCAACCCGAATGCAATCGGGTGCGGTTTGATTGATCTTTTGGGCACGGATACGAGTTGGCATACGGGTCAGGTTTTGATTCTTGAATCTTCTAATCAACACTTTACGGGTTGCGGTCCTCCATATGATTGCTCGGAGTCGTATCCGGGACCAAATGCGGGTTACTTTCTTTCCGAATTTTCGCAACATTTTTTGAATTGAAATTGGGAATGGTGAAATGGTGAAATTGTGAGTATGGATACATTCAAGGGTAGGAGATATATGGATCTTTTTAGCACGGTCTACTGTTAAAAGATTGATCGTAGGTGGTTGAAAGAAAGGAAAGTAAGTCATGAAGTTGTTGAAATTAGTATAAAATAAAGTGGATATAGCCAACTACTCCATCAATTTGAAAAGTGTTATTTGACAAAGTGACATTAATCGTTGAAATTGTGTTTCGAAATACAACTACTCCTACCAATGGAATTTTGACTTTCGAACATACTTAAGCTTATATACTCATATTTTGACTTTTGAACCTAAATTCCATTAAAGTTTCACAAATTCTTTCATATCTAGGATTTACGTTTTCCATTCACAAACTGACGGCATTTAATTCCAATAACGATCACTCATATAATCCATATCGCCATTAGCTATACCGCATGTTGTTGTTGTTGTTGTCGGTCACACTTCTGTTTCTATCAACAACTTATATAAAGCCATAGTATATTAATGAGTATCATACTAAAAATAGAAGAATGTGTTTGGTCTCACTCAGAAATCCCCATTTGCAGACCCTTATTTTTCCGACTTTTTTTGTTAACCATCGAACCACATTTTAACATTCTTGATTGTACTTTACCTCCAACGAATTGAATTGTGTAATTTTGTTGGTGATTTTAGTGTATTTGGGTTCGATTTAGTATAATGGAATTTACATGTTACCAATAGAGTTCAAATCTTGATTTTAGACAAATTAAGTGGTGTGGAGTGTACGTTTGAATAAAACGAGTTTGATCTCAATTCGATCAAATGACAGGGGTCTGGTTGACCGGTCGGCGAATGGGATCGAGAGGGCGTCCCGTGCATAGTATGGGACAACGCCCTAGCCCGAAAATTTATTTGTTAAGGAAAATGTTATCAAAAATCTTAATTATGGAATATATTTTCCATAATTATCTTTGAAACATCATCTCTTATATATGGGATAAAATTAACATTTAATATTGATTGATACTTATCTTTGGTTACAATCAGAGGAATTTCAATTCTATATAAACGCTAGTTCATGGCCTCTTATCAGTGCCTTGACACGAAATTGTTCCATGAAAGATTATCCTTATAATTTGGATTTCTTGTAAACCCATAAATAGCTTCGAAATATCAGATTTGAAAAGTGTTCACACGATCCTTCAAGAAGATTCAAACTCTCATCGATTTCAAAAAAACATTTTTCTCCTACGAAACCCCATCATAATTTATCTTTTTAAATTTGTTTCATAATTTGTTATCATGTGGAGTTAAATTCATATATTGGAAATTGTATATTTTACTTTTTTAAATGTGTTCGGCAAAAATAATTGCAACTTTTTATAAAATATAAAATAACATGAAATATTAAAGCTAAAACTAGACCTATTTGGTGTAGGGGTGAGCATTTGGACCGAACCGGACCAGACCAGCTCTTGGACCAGACCGGTTAAGGAGAATATTGGACCGTGGACCGGACCGGATGAGTCGTGTCCGGGTCCAGGTCCGGGTTTTCCGGTTCTTGGACCTGTTTGGACCGGTACAACTTTAATTTCATAGAATACAAATCGTTAAAATAAGTTTTTGGGTTTGATAGAACTCGTTAAAACGAATATGTTGTTGAGTTTGATACGATACTACTTGTAAAAATGATTACATTTCCGTTTCATGCATAACTAATCTACCTTGATGTTATAATATTATAACTTGCAGAATTAATTTTCCAAATAAAAGCAACTAACATATAAATCAAGTTCACCAAGATCCCTTTCATATGATTTATCTGTCAAAGATACATAAAATTCAGAATTATAGTCTAAAATAATAGTTAAAAAGCTGAAATATTTCAGCTTTGAAGGATTGTAACTCACTAAATATACTACCAAAATCCACAAAATTATAGTCTAAATTCATATACAAACTGTAAACTAAATGTTGGAAAAAACCGTAGGTCAATCCTGTAGCACCTGGTTCTTGGTATGTATTTTTATTTAAGTATTTTTGCATTTTTGGCCTTGGACTCGGCGAG